GAACGGCAGCGGCGCCACGTCGCGCGCCGCCACCCCCCGGATCTTGTCCAGGATGCGCTTCGTGATGAGCCGCAGCGCGGCCTCGGTCGGCGCCGCGCGCGCCGCGGACGACGAGGTGAGGCGCTGCAGCACAGGCCGCTGCGCGAGCTGGAGGATCGAGGTCAGCGCTTTCAGGGAGCCGCGGCCGAGAGGGCTCCATTTGGTCTCAATCGTGGACTGCCGCACGCGCCGCGTAAAGGGCGCGACGTGCGGGTAGGGCTTCTCGGGGGATGGCGGGCCGTCGTCGTCGTCGTCGTCGTCAATGTCGCCTTCTGACTCGGAGTCTCTAATCTCCTCCTCTTCACCATCCGGCGCCTCGTCTGCTCGTCTGCGTGATCGTGAAAGCGGCTGCTCGTCCGGGGACGACTCCTGCTGCGGCCGTCGCCGCGTACTCCCCGACCGACCGCCTGCCTGTGCCGGGCCGGCCATCCGCTTCGCGGCCGTCTTTGTCTGGGCACTGCGTCGTCTGGGTGGCGGCTTGTTCTGGATCTGCGAGGGCGTCACGTCGTGGAGCGACGGGCGCGATGCGGACGCTGCTGTGTCCGGCTGGCCGCCGATGCGGTTCCGGGCGACGTTGGGGTTCGGTCCTCGGAGCAGGGCGGCCGCGGAGGATCTCGAGCTCAGCGCGGCGGGCGCGCCGCCAGCACTGGGCCGGCTGCGTTTTGGTGGCCGCGACGCATCGTCGGCGGGTGGTCGTCGAGACGCGTTGCCAGACGCGTTTGATGGGCGAGCGCGCTTCCGGCCCGGCGGGTTCCCGGCGGAAGACTGGAAATATGTAAGTAAAAGGCAAAGGAAGTATACATGTAATAGGAGGCATTTATTTAGAGCAGAGACGTACCATGACATGAAACGCCGAGTGTGATGAAGCTTCAGTGTTGCGAGGATATGGTCTTGTAAACGAAGCCTGTTATGTTATCGCACAGAGCACTGCCTCGATAAGAGAGCTTATCTTATCCACACTAACAATAAGCATAGATAAGCAATAACCTTAAGTATCCTAAAATATAGCGTCATCTTATAACTTAAATTATATAGCCTAAGGCTAGGAAATAGGATATATAAATTAACTAATTATTCTTTATAGCTTTATTTAATATAAGACTAATTTTCTTTATTATCTTTACTTTTTATTATTTTTTTATAAGCTATATTAGTTATATTACTATCTTATATAACTATATTAATACTTTATAGTTATAAGCCTAGAAGGTTCTAATTATATAAAGTATTTATATAAAGGAGTTAGGCTTAGGCCTACTCTAGACTAGGCTTAGCTTAAGGCTACTATAGGTATACTCCTAGTATACCCCCTTTATATACTAGAGTAGATAGATAGACTAGCTTTTCTTTCTTTTTTACTTTATAAAAGAGTTAATACTATTATAATACCTATCTATAAATACCTTAAGGCTAGTTTTTAATAATTAACTCTCTTCCTTACTAATACCTTTTTTATTTAACTAAAAGAAAAGTTAATAAAATAAAAATAATAATAATAAAACTATAATTTAAATAATAGCTATTAATAGCTAAGGCTTATTAAATACTCTTAGCCTAGTCTATAGTTATAATAAAATAAAATATATTTTTAAAAGAGAAGTTATAATAATTATAAAACCTTTTTAATACCTAGAATATAGCTAGCTAAACCTTTAAAGATTAAACTATAATACTTAAAGATACTTTTCTTTTAGTTAATATACCTTTAGTCTAATAAAAACCCCTACTTATAAGGAAGAAGTTTAATAATAATATAAAAGTATTTATAGGCTAAAAGTAAGTTATAATATATAAGTTAAAAACTAATATAGACTTTATTAACCCTTTAAAGTCTTAATTTATATATATTTAAATAAACCTTAGTATTATATTATAAATAAAAGTTATTATATACTTTAAAGTAAATAGCTTTTAAAGTAAAATAAACCCCTATATATTCTTTATATACCTTAAGATAGTATTTAATAACCCTTATTAATAATTTATAATAATAATAAACCTTAATATAATTTTATAAAATAATAAAAAGTCTTTTAACTATTATTATATATACTTTAAATAAAAGCTAGTCTTTATTAATAGCCTTATATAATTAAATAAAGTTAAATTAAATAAACTCTATTTAATATTATTCTTTATAATAAAAGTATTTATAATTAGCTATAGTATCTTCTAAATAAACTATAATAATATAATCTAAATACTTTAAAAAGTAATAATAAACCTTAAATTATATAGAATTAAAGAATAATATTAAATTAAATTATAATAAAGCTTATATAGGTAATAAATAAATAAAAAAAAGAATATTTAAATAATAAGTATTTATACTTTTAGAATTATATTAACTACTAATAATATAACCTTAAATAGTATATAGTCTAGAAAATATACTATATAGGTATTAAAGGTAGTATTTAATATATACTAAAAGGTAGGGTAATACCTTTATTATAAAAGGATAGGCTATATAGTTATAGCCTATAGGCTTAAGCTAGCTAAACCTTTAATATTAGCTTATATAAATAGTATTTTTATAAAAGATTAATCTAATAGTTTAAAAAAAGAGAATACTTAAAGATAAGTCTTTTTTTAAGTATATTAGTTATAATAAAAGGTTAAAAAAGAATAAATAAATAAGATAAAGTAGTCTAGAAAAAGATAGTTAAATAAATAAATACTAAACTATTCTTTATCTTTATTATCTTAAAGGTATATATATTAATAAATACTTTTATTAACTTAAGCTATAAATATTATAAAGTAATATAAAAAAGGGTAATAAATAGGTTATACCTTAAAAAAATCTTATTATTAACTAAATAAAAGATTAAGTTAGTTATAAAAAAAAAGATATTAAAGTTTATAGTATTTAATATAATAAAGGTTAAGGTAAATATTAATAGCTAGGTATTCTTAGTCTTACTTTATATAATACCTATATTATTAAAGCTAATAATACTTAGACTATTTTAGCTTACTTATTATAAGCTAGTAATAAATATAAAAAGGGGCTTTATTTACTTTAAGATAAAACTATATTAAAAGATATATATAAAAAACTATAAAAAGAATAAAAAAGGCTTAATACTATTTAGTAGAAGCTAGTTTTATTACTAGTTTAAAATAGACTTTAAAGAATATTATAAAGTAATATAGATTATATTAATAAGTATTTATAAGATTAATATTACCCTTTATTAAAAGCTAGTTAGGGAATAGATAGTCCTTTAGTAATATAAAGAGTTTAAAGACCTTTTTTAAAAGAAGAATATAATAGTATTACTACTTTACTAAAAAGGGTTTAACTATAAGATTAAGATTAAAACTAAGCTAAATAATATACTAAAATAACTACTATATAACTACCTTTACTATATACCTTAAGACTAGTTACTAGAACTATAAAAGTAGCTAATATCCCTATTAGATAAAGGCTAGATAAGAGTAAGCTTATCTTTAGCTATAATACTAATACTCCTAATAAAGAAGTTAAATAAAAGGTAGTATTTCTATATAAATTATAAAAGGCTTAATATAATCTTAAAAGAAGATAACTACCTATTCTTATTTATTAAAGAAATATTATAAGCCTTTTTAATAATAAAGTAATATATAAAACTTAATATTTATTTAGTATTTTATAAACTATAAATAAAGATAAGGTTTAAAAAGTTTATAGCTTTCTAGACCTAGTTTAGCCTTTTTAAGTAGCTTATATACCCCTTTAGTTTCTTTAAAGTATTAATAATATTCTAATAGTATATTAACTATATACTAGGTAACTCCTTTAATAACTATATAATAGCCTACTTTAATAATATCTTAATCTATACCTTAAAGTCTTTATAAGACTATAAAAAAAAAGTATAAATAATCTTAAGCTACTTTAAAGATATTAGTCTTTATATAGACTTAGTAAAGTATAACTTCTTTATAAAAATAGTAAAATACTTAAGATTTATTATATAAGTAAAGGTTTTATTAAAGCTAGACTTAAAGAAAATATATATAATTTATAATTAAGAGGTACTTACCTTAGTAAAAAGGGTTTAAAGCTTTAATAAATTTATAAACTTTTATTATAACTTTATTCTAAATTTCTTAATTATATAAAAACTATTTACCTAGTTAATAAAGAAGAGTATATTATTTATATAAAATAAAAAAGAGGTAACTATATTTAAAATATTAAAATTATTATTCTTATTAAGCTTATACCTAAGCCTTTAAAACCTAATAAAGAAGATACTAATAAAGCTAAATACCTTTAGTATAAAACTAAGTAGTTACTTATTATAGGTTAATAAGAATAAGGTTCTCTAGCTAGTAGCCTATTACTCTACTAAGCTATTAATTATAAAATAAAACTATATAATTTATAATAAAGAGCTTTTAATAGTTATTATATACTTTAAAGTATAAAAACTTAAGCTTTAAAGGTAAAAAAACCTTTTTATAATCTTAACTAATTATAAGAATTTTAAGTATTTTATAAAGCTATACCTACTATTAGAATAGTAAACTAAGTAAGTAGAGTTTTTTTTTTAATTTTAATTCTAATTATATTATTAACTTAAACTACTAATATAATAACTAAATACCTTTAACTAGTAGGAAGTATATAAAGATAATCTAAAAAAACCTTTAAAGGAGATTATAAAGTTAATTAATATTATAGTAGTTATAATAATAAGTATAAGTAAGTAATACCTATTACTATTTATAGACCTAGAGCTTTTAATATTATAAGAAGATAAAGTAATAATAAACCTAAACTATTTTATTAAGCTAATAGTTATATATTAAAGTACTTAGTTCTTCTTAAAGGAGGCTAAAACCTATAAGTAAGTTATAAATTATACTATTTTTACTTATTAAAAACTCTAGTTTAGGGGCTACCTATAGATTCTAAGCTAAGAACTACTAATAACTACCCTAATAGAAAGAGTATACTCCTTACCTATAATAGTATACCTAGGAAAGAATACTATATTCTTACTACTTATATAAGACTATTATTAGTTTAGAATATCTTAAGATATAGTATATTATATTTAGAATTATAAGTATTTTAAGGTATATAAGTTAAGAAAACTATATTAAAGACTTTTATAGCTAATTCTTATTAAAAAGTAGTATTAATAGTAAATCTTAATTAACTTTATAATAAACTTATTAGCTTAGAAAAAAGGCTAGCTATATTTCTTAATAATAATTACTAATTAATTATTAAAGTATATTTAGTTTAAAGTAATAAATTTTATAATAATAAAAGACTATATAATATAGTTCTTTTTATATTAATAATACTTTTATAAATTCCCTAACTAGTTTATAAATAATAAAGGTTTAGACTAAGTTAGTAAGTTTTAAAAGATACTATATTACCTAATTAATACTAAATAGCTTTTATTAATAACCTTTTACCTTTAAATAGATAGTAAGATAAAGTAAATAAACTAGAAAGTATAAGTAATACTTTAAATACTAATTATATACTCTTAATATAACTAGCTTACTTAGTTACTAATAGCCTAGTTTATACTTAATAATTAAAACTTATTTATTATAAGCTTTAACCTAAACTTCCTATTTTATAATTATTATAAGCTAACTATATAGTTTATAATAAGGCTATTAATACCCCCTAAGTCTTTTATAAGAAGAATAAAGGTATTCTTTAAGTATATTAAGAAGGGCTTAAAGTTAGCCTAAACTATAATTATATATACTTAATAATAGGTTAAAAAGGCTATAAATAACTCTTAATACTTTATAAAATACTTTTAAAAAAAAGATAAAGTATAGTTTTTCTTATATAATATTATAATAATATAA